GGATAAGTACAAAGGTGCTCTATTTTATTGCCGTGAGCTCGGCACTCGCACGATCAGGTATACCATGGTTCGTCGAGATTTACGGTCTCGACGTGCTTCTTCTGGATTTCTTCTCCGAAATAGGGCTTGACTCTTTGTCCGTTCACGACAAAGAATTCGCCGGTAGACGGGTTCTGCAGTTGGATGGCCCCGAAAGACAGTACTTCGTCAATAAGGAACGGGCCACTCCATCGGGACTTAAGTTTTCCCGGAAATAGACGAAGTCGGGAATTAAAGAGGAGCACTTTCATGCCCGGCACCAACTCCTTCCGGACAATTCGAGCGTCGTGAAGGCGTTTGACCTTGTCCTTGTAAATCTTTGAATTTTCGTACGCTTCGTTCCTCAATTCTTCGAGTTCCGAGAGATGCAAAATTCTCTCTCTTCCAGCGGTATCAAGATCAAAATTCATCTTCTTTATTGTCCAAAACGCCTTGTGCTCGATTTCGACCGGGAGGTGGCACGCTTTTCCGTAGACGAGCTGGAATGGGCTCATTCCCAAGACTCCTTTGTACGCTGTCCGTTGGGCCCATAACGCATCGTCAAGTCGACTCGACCAATCGTTCTGAGACGAGTTCACCGTCTTCTCAAGAATCGTCTTAATTTGTTTGTTGCTCGTCTCCGCTTGTCCCGACGTTTGTGGGTGGTATGGTGTCGCCACCTTGTGTGAAATGCTGTACTTTTTCATCAACTTCTCGAAAATTCGATTGCAAAAGTGCTTGCCCCCGTCACTCACGATAGCTTGTGGAAATCCAAACCTACTCAAAATGTTACCCTGCAAAAACTTGATAACCACTTTAGCATCACACGTCCGTGTAGGGATAGCCTCGACCCACTTGGAAACATAATCAACGGCAAGAAGAATATATTCGAAGCCATAAGATTTAGGAAATGGTCCCATAAAATCAATGCCCCATACATCAAATATTTCGACTTGAAGATTGCTAACTAAGGGCATTTCATTTCTAGGACCGATATTCCCGATCCTTTGACAACGATCACAAGTTTTGCAAAAGTTATAAGCATCCTTAAAAAGAGTAGGCCAGAACAAACCCGATTGGAGGACCTTAAAAGCGGTCTTTCGACTCCCAAAGTGTCCTCCACAATGAAGCTCGTGGCAAAAGGCAAGCACGTCCGATTGCTCTTCTTCGGGCACACACCTCCGAGGAATCTCGTCTTTTCCTATCTTGTAAAGGAACGGGTCATCCCAAAAGTAGCTCCTGCACATCAAAACAAATCGTTTCTTCTCTTGCGAAGAGAGGTTAGGCAACAAGACTTCATCGGATAAATAGTTCACTATGTCCGCAAACCATGGATGACTAGTTACTTCACTCGCATGCTCGTATGGAAAATCATCATTTATACAATTATGCTCATACAATGCAAGTGAAGACTCGGAAGGAACAATGCAAGACAAGTGATCTGCAACAACATTTTCACAACCTTTTCTATCCCGAATCTCAACATCAAATTCTTGTAAAAGTAAAATCCACCTAATGGTCGGAATGTACAATCACTTTAGATCCCAAAATGTAATACCTAAATTTTTCAAGTAAAAAAATTACGGCAAGAAGCTCTTTTTCGGTAGTCGTATAATTTAGTTGGGCACTGTTTAGGGTTAAACTAGCATAATAAATTACACGGAGTAATTTATCAACTCGTTGACCCAAGATGGCTCCAACCGCAAGATTTGATGCATCACACATGATTTCAAACGGTAAAGACCAATTGGGAGCAATAACAATAGGCGCGGTCACAAGCTTATTTTTCAATGTAGCAAAAGCATCTAAACATGCATTATCAAACACAAATGGTACGTCATTAGCAAGCAAGTGACATAATGGTTGACTAATTTCCGAAAAGTCTTTAATGAAACGCCTATAAAAACCCACATGTCCCAAGAAACTACGCACGCCTTTCACATTTACAGGAGGGGGTAATTTTTCAATAACATCAACTTTTGCTTTATTGACTTCTATCCCCCGACTAGATATGATATGCCCTAACACGACTCCACTTTTCACCATGAAATGACTCTTTTCCCAACTCAATGTCAAATTAGACTCGATGCAACGCTCAAGGACATGAGATAAATTATGTAGACAATGAGAAAATGAATTACCGAAAATAGAAAAGTCGTCCATAAATACTTGTAGACAGTCCTCGAGCATGTCGGAGAGTACGAAGAACATGCACCGTTGGAAGGTGCCAGGTGCGTTGCAAAGTCCGAACGGCATTCGTCTAAAGGAAAAGGTGCCGAAAGGGCACGTGAAGGTGGTCTTTGGTTGGTCTTCGGGTGCTATGGCCACTTGGTAGTAACCGGAAAGTCCGTCGAGGAAGCAATAGAATTGGTGGCCGGAGAGGCGGTCGAGGATTTGATCAATGAACGGCAACGGGAAATGGTCCTTCTTTGATACGGCGTTGAGTCGCCGGTAGTCGATGCACATTCTCCACCCGGTAGTGATGTGGGTGGGGATCATTTCCTTCTTCTCGTTCTCAATAACGGTTATGCCCCCTTTTTTGGGCACCACATGAATGGGGCTAACCCACTCACTATCGGCGACTGGAAAAATAAGCCCCTCCGAGTAGAGCTTGAGGACCTCCGTCTTTACTACCTCCATCATGTTCGGGTTAAGCCTCCGTTGGCTATCCCGAAAGGGTTTGGCACCTTCTTCTAGGACAATTCGGTGCATACATGTGGAGGGACTTATGCCTTTGAGGTCTCCGAGGCTCCACCCAATGGCTTTATGGTTCTTTCGAAGCACTTCGAGTAACTTGCTTTCTTCCTCCCGGGTGAGCTCGGCGGAAATAATGAGTGGCTTTTGCTCTTTGTCTTCGAGGAACACGTACTTGAGGTGACGGGGCAATTCTTTGAGCTCGAATGTGGGAACGGTTCGTGGGGCGGTTTGGTTGGTTTCACATAGGTCAATGGTCGGCTCATCGTCATCATTGAGGTCGGGTAAGTTCTTCTCTTCGAACTCTCGTACGGCCATCACTTCAATAAAAGGGTCGGTTACATCGAGAAACGCGCACTCCTCAACGAAATTTACCGAAGATGAGGATGTGGCTTCCCGGACAGAGATAGACACGGACTCGCCTAAGACCGTCATTTTGAGGGTCCCGTTCTTCACGTCGATGAGGGTGTTGGTGGTGGCCATGAATGGTTGCCCGAAAAGGATGGTGTGATTCTTCCCGTTTTCTTGTACGTCTTCCACATCTAGAATGACAAAATCTACGGGAACAATGAGCTCTCCCACACGTACAAGCACGTCTTCCACCACTCCCTTGGGATATCGAATGGACCGGTCGGCAAGTTGGAGGCACATACGAGTTGGTCTCAAATCCCCGAGACCGAGCCTTTGAAAATTTGAGAATGGCATGAGGTTGATTCCGGCCCTGAGGTCAAGCATCCCCGAAGCTTCTTTCCTATTCCCGAGGGCTATTTTTATCACGAAGCCCCCGGGATCTCGTTCTTTCTTTGGTAGATCTTGGTGCATCGCACTTGCCGCCTCATACACCACGACCTTCTCTCCGTCCTCGAATTTTCTCTTTTTCGTCACCAAGTCCTTGAAAAACTTGACGTAGGACGGCATATTCTTGATAACA